CATGTCAGTGTGTTGCGACGGGATCCCCACTGACACAGTAGCGGGCCTTTGGCCACTGTTAGGGCCCCAGGCTGGGATGCAGTGTAGTGGGCGGGCCTGTCCTCAGTCTCTCCCCCCCCCCCAACTCATGGATGGGAGTCTTCCCCTCTCCCAGGCCGCTTGGAGCCTGAAGTCTGGGTGTGCTATTTACCTGTTTGCTCAGCTCTGCCTGAGGGTCTGAGCCTTAGACTCACTGCTGCTGTACCTATATAAACTGCTGCTCAGCCCCTGCCCAAGGGCTTGAGCTGTGATTCATTGCTGCCCCACCCTGACCCAGGGCGTGGGCTGTTAATTGCTAACTGTTACCTGTTTACTCAGCCCCTGCTGGACGGCTTGATCCAGGACTCCTGTGACATGACTGATTCCCCAGAGGCCAGTGCAGGGACTAAGGGAGGTGGTGTGGTTCCCTGCCACCCCGGAGAGGGACAAGCCATGACGAACCCTCTCTACACGCCCATAGATTTTCTGTCTTTAGAGGTTGTCACTTCAGCAATGAGTATTTTGGGAGGTTCTTAAGAGGGAACAACAGTACTGCATCTCTCATGAGGGCAAAGTTGTGTTATGCTATAACACAGCCTTTATTCCTAAAATAAAAGCTGGTTACAAGAAATTGTTTTCTTTTCCACCTCTGCCTACTCCCTGGTAAAATGCCTTTGGGGAAAAAACTGCCACACACAACTGTCAAAGTCTTGATCTCAATAGAGCTCTACAAATCAACATTGAATGCTGTATCTAATTCAGAAAATCTCTAGCTGTGGCCTATATTGCCAACATAAGTTAAAAAACAAAAACACAACCACACACCTCACCTTGCTCCTGTGCCTTCATTTTACATGTGGCTAACTTGGAATATTTAATAAGTTTTCAAAGGTGCCCTTTTCCCCCCCACAAACATTGGTGCACTTTCATTCAGAGCCATGGAAGCCTTCTGGCCTGAAGGATCATATCCAACCTACAAAAAAGAGATGTAGCGTGGCCACCTGCTCATGTTTTCCACACTTTGAATTATCTATAATTCAAATTCCACCACAACGATGCAGAGAAGCACTCTCTCCCTGTCCCCCTTGATAGTTGTGGTGGAATCTGAAGTTGCTTACAGTAGGAAGTGTTGATATGAATGTTTGTGCTATCTGATAACCTCTGAATAAAACTTTAGTGCCAAAACTGCTGCATAGAGCTATCTTGATCTGACTGGCTGGGTCTTCAGGACTGTACCATGATTGATAGATCTGTTTTCTGCCTCCAAGGAGCTGCAAGCAGGAGCTGCAGACTTTCCCCACTTGAAGAAAGAAAATTTTAAAGGCAAAGAGAATTTTTACTCCCTAGTTTTATTTTCATGGGTGAAGAAGCTGGAAGGATAGAATATTGGGGACAGCAATAGTGTAGCATTCTAACTGAGGCACCTGGACCCTGCACAGATGGGAAATGGTTAAAAATAATCAATCTAAATAACAAAAGGAACTTGCTAGATGAGTATCTTTGACATCTAATTGCATGTCATTTGCTTATTTACTTTGTAAATTCTTTGGTGTGGAGATAGTTCTGTGTGTTTATTCAGCACCTAGCACGAGAGGATCATGATCCTACTGTGGCCTTTGGACACAACTATAATATAAATAATAAAAACAAACAAAAGAATAAAATAAACAATATCAAATTGCAGATGCACATGTTGCCAAATTCAACTGCTGGCCGAGCTAAAGAAGCCATATAGTAAATTATTCTGAACCCTATCCTGGTCCGAATCTCTCCACTCCTAATATTATTTTAGGCACAGAGCTCCGCTAACCACTATTTTCATTTAAAAATTAAATATGCTGCATAAATATTTGGCAGCTATACCGGTAGCTAAGATTATATCTTACCACAGTGATCACAGTTATTAATTGATCAATCATTTTGCTCTAAAAATAAGTATGGTTCAGGATATTCTATGCCTCCAAGGATATTAAATGCAATTTTTTGTCAATCATCTGTTAATAAAGATTTCTTTAAGTAATCTCTAGGAATAGAAAATGTAATGTCCAACGGCAGTTATGCAACTCTCCAGCTAAAGCAAAAAGGAAATATTAATTGACGATGTTTTATTTTAATCTGAACTTCTGGAGAACTTCAGTCTAGAAGAGAAGAAAACCCAAGCATTGCAGTGCCAATACAACAAACCAAGTGTATACTGTAGTAGGTAGATCTGACAGGCACCTGTCTTTTAAGTTTTACAGAGCTATACTAGAAGAAAGTCTAAGTTGATTTACTGATACCACTGACTTTTCATTCACTCATAGAGCCAAAGGTAGGCTGGGAGCATAATGTAAAAAAAAAAATCTCATTCTGTGGGCAAGTTAGTGATAGAAAAGCAAAGGATGTGTTATCTGATTCATAAAAATCTACAGAATCATAATTTCACCCTCTGTAACGAGGCAGGGGGACTCACTGCCCTTCTCCTCCAGTCCAAAGCTGCAGGTCCTCCGCCTGGTGGAAGTTGTGATAATACAATGTCATCAGAAATGTGTCAAGTTGGGTATCATTCTAGAGCCCTTTCTCCCACAAACACAATGGCTCCAAACATGACAAACCTAGAAAAAATAAGTAGATATATATTTGAGAAAATATTTAAAGATCAACTTTTAAAAAAAAATTATGCTTTAATGCAGGGGTGAATTGCTTACATAAAAAGACATTGAACTTTGGCAATCCTTGGAAGTTAGTCTTGACTTGTAGAACTGAAAACATTCATTTATTCAAGTCATCATCAGTATCATCACTGTTTAAGGCACCACTGCTAGACATGTTGTCTCTCTGATCCTTGGCCACCAACCATGTTGGAGTGTACCTTTGTCCTGAAATGGTGCGGTACAGTATGTCCTTGGATGTTCAGATCATTTAAAGGATAAATCTCTCTCTTAATCGGAGGCTGTATTCAATGATTTTTTGCCTCTGGAGTGCATCCTACTTTTGCACAATAACCAAATGTGGGCAAGGTTAGTGAATGTAAAACTTTTCTACAGTTGATGTAACCACAGGTGCCAGCTTCCAACTTGCCCCAGGGATGTTCAGCCCCAAGGCCCCACCCCCACTCCACCCCTTCTCCCAAGCCCCCACCCTGACTCCTCCTCTTCCCAGCCCTGCCCACTCCACCCTTTGCCCCAAAGCCCCACCCCTGGCCTGTCCCTGCTCCTCCCCCTCCCTACTAGTGCCTCTTGCATGACATGGAACAGCTAATCTGCAGTGGCTGGGAGGGGGGGGGGGGGGGGGGGGGGAGGGAGGGAGAGGGAAGTTGTTCCTGTGGGTGCTCCCGCTCTGAAGCTGGATATGACAAGATAGATTCAAGTACCCAAGTGATTGTGTCTCCATGCTTAGGCTTATATAATGCCTGAGGAGTTTATAGGGGTGTTTCGTTGGTAAAATCTAAGTATAGAACTCACAACAAATTTAGGGTTTGTGCCCTGAGGTAAGTCTGCTCTGAGGTTGATGCTCTTGAGTCACTGCAGCCAACTTTACAGACTGGTCCCCATTAATACGCTCCTGATAGCAGACCATAAGAGCATCAGAAGCAGATGCCAGATATACCCTTCATATCTTCAATAAAGTTTAAGTTATTGTCAGGACAAAATATAAACCGACCTTTGACCAGGTCTGGGGGAAATGTACAAACCCTTTGTTCAGTTCCATGCGGTGAAGAACCTCGTTTGCAACTGCAGTCTCCAAGTGAAGTACTTTGCTATAGTCATTGGAGGAATCAATGCTGTGCATAAGCTGCGTGATGAGTTTGCTACAGGGTTTGGAATGAATCGTTAAACCAACAGCTACTTGTAGTGGCAAATTACACATATGCCACACAGTGTTGCATGTGTGTTGGAAACCTGCCTCTTTCTCAAGCACTTGTACGTGAGCCTTTGCAATACAGTGGCAGCTTTGCTCCACTTGCTCAGTGTCATACTTGCTGGTGCTGAAGTCACTGTGACCACTGATGCAACACTTACAGTAGTAGTACAGGTCATGCTGAATTTTATTTTTGGCATCAGCTATGAATCCCTGAAACTCTCACGTAGTGAAGCACAAAATGCCTTTCTGTAAAAATTTAGCAGCTGCAAACAGAGTCTTCATACTACTGATGACCCAGCGCTTTCTTCCACTTTTGATAGTACCGTGTCTTTTACAGCTTTTTAGAGTATGTTCTGTGATTAAGTTCCGCAGATAAGATTGCTAAAAACTCTGTCCATATCCAACAGTTCATCTTCAATACATGCTTTAAGAACCTTTCTGCTAAGCATTTTTCCTCTTCAATTCTATTCAAAGCACATATTTCTCTATACTTAGCCTCTGTATTGCCCATTGCTACCACTTTCCCATCCATTAGCGTCTTTGAGAGGCAATTTATGAACTCCAGCTGAGTTGCACAGTTTGCAGTAGTAAAATCAGTATTTGTTTCTGTTGCTGTTACATTTTTGACGCAACACATTACATACTTTTTTGGTGTAGCACTCTATGTGACACACAATGTCAATAGGCCTGAGCATTTTTTGGGTCAGTGTGTAAGCAAAAGCCTAATGGGAAGAAATTGTCTCAAGTAAAACTGTACTCCATTTTGCTTATTTTGCTTTATACTCCATGTTGCTGGCTTTGAATTAATAAGAAGAAATTGTAGCCTTGAATTAGCAAGAAGAAATAGTTCTGAATTTATTCTTTCCTTCTAAAAACAATCATTAACACAATCAGTATAGAAGTTTTATGGCTGTAATTGCCTTATTTACTGTTTGGTGTGAGTGAAGAATGTATGGTAATTAACTGAGAAAGGACAGCTAGGCCAGATGGTCAAGAAGGGAGTGGAAGAGTCGAGAGGCACCGACTTTCACCCAGATGGCAGATTGATGACCCTAAAGCAAAGGCAGACACACCAAGGACAAGATAAAGAGTGGAGCTAGAGGGATGAGATAAACAGCTGCAGATAACTCCCAGTAACAACCCAAATTATGCTGATTGGAGCAACCTTGAACAGCTCCCTTGGAACACCGCAAGGTCCAGAGACTTGTATGGGAACTTATTACTATAAAAAAAGGTGTATTGCCTTGGGACTTTGGGTTCGTTCTGCATCAACATCGGAGCTTGAAACACATTCGACAGAGGCCCAGCTCCCCGCCCTCGTGTGCAGTTTCAGCTGGCCACTGGAACTGACCAAGCAATACTAAGGACTGGTAACTATAAAATCCAGCTGCAGAACCTTTTGGGGTGCGTGGGTGTGGATGTGTGTGTATGGAAGCATGCTGATTTTAACGCTTAAATTGTACTCTCAATAAATGCGGCGTATTGCCTTATCCCCTTTAAAAGAATTCATGTGCTTCTTATAAGCATAATAAGTTCACCCACTTATCTTTACTTTTTGTGCAATGTTCTCGCTAAGAATGACTGCTTCATACAGTTTTTCATGTGTTGAAACTGTGCTTACCAGATGCCTTCTGGCTTACCGCCGACGAAGCATGTCTTCTTCTTGAAACACATGCCATGAGAACTAGTGTAAGGAGAGTCTCACCCACAGCTGGCACTTGGCCCAGTATCTTCAACTTTTTCATGATGAGAGATGTACTTCCTCCTCTCCAACCTTGCCAAATTCAGTTCACTTATAGCATGTAAGGTGCCACCGAGCATTGTGTTTGACCAGATCCTCTTTGGTGGTATTCTCCAAAGATCCTGCTACTAGTTGGTACTCAGACTCCCCACTGATGCCTAAAAGTGATCAAGACCAAAGTAAGAACAAGGATTCTGTAATACATTATATTATGTAATGCATGTTATATAAAAATGTAATGAGTGAAATTTTATTGGTGATTACAAACAAACAAACAAAAGGTTTTCTACCAAAGTGAAAGTGTTCATTTGTCAACACTTTCATTTTTGTTGTTGGGGAAAAAAATGTGAGTTTTGTTTTACTTAAAAAAAGAAAAAGAAAGAAAAAAATAGGAAAAGCCCACAAAAATGCTACAGTAAATGAAACTCTTGTTTCATTTGAATGTTTGCAGAAAAACACATAGCATTGCTCAACCAGTTCTAGTGAGGCTATTACAGTAAAAATTAATTTTAGGCCCGATCCTGTGGAAATACACACAACTGTTCCACTTCAGAGCTCCACTGAATGCAAGCCCTGGCTACCAGTGGATTCAACTTACTCCTGAGGATTCCAGCATCAATAGTGAGGTTCTGGGGTCTGCCTCTAAATGGTGCAGCATAAAACTCGTAGGTCAGAGGGAGAGGGAGCTAAGGTGTCTTTAAGCCATTATTGCACCATCTCCATTCTGGACCATTCCACATAATTTAAATAGCCCCAAGGGCTCTGTCAGTTACAACAGCCACTCTCTGGCTGCCTAAGTGCAGCAGAATCTCTGCCTTCCTATGTTCCGTGGACCTGCAATGCCTCTTCTGTTCCCAGCACACCGGCTACACCAGGGCTTGCAAGGGGATCTTCAGAAGACAGCCTGCAGCTGCTTTACTGAGTTCTTGGGATAATTCTCTGCCAGATGGATCCAGAGCTTTCCAGGCCCCATTACTACCCTGTTTCCCCGAAAATAAGACATCCCCTGAAAATAAGACCTAGCGCATCTTTGGGAGCAAAAATTAATATAAGACACTGTCTTATT